GATCTTCTCTTCTCCACCCCATGTCTCCGTGTCTCCGTCTCCACACAGAAAAGGCCAGGGTCGTCCTGATTGGGCCATTTTCGGCCGGCTGACTGAGCACAACGAGACCATGTTGTTCAAGGAGAAGTTCATGGACTGGACCGAGATGAAAGCACAGACACCAAAGGACGGCTGTGATCTGGTCCCAGAGCTGAAGGTACCACAGATCCATCTGTTTGGTTCTAAATCTGAGGCTCACGCCCAGGCTGAGGCACAGCAGCCACAATAAAAGAACTATTCTTCCTTTTGACCTGACTTCTACCCAGGAGGCACCGGGCCGCGAGTGCAGGCCCTACGACGCCAACCTGATGCTGCCCGTGCTCCAGTCGGCCATTTCCACCATCTTGGACGGTGTAAACGTGGGACGAGGTCACGGCCCCGTGGAGAGCGAGGACCACATGAGGACCCAGGAGATCGTCACGGTGTCGGTGGACGTCTGGCACATCCTGGAGTTTGACTACAGCCGTCTGCCGCGCCAGAGCATCGGCCAGTTCCACGAGGGAGACGCCTACGTGGTCAAGTGGAAGTACATGGTCAGCACCTCAGGTCAGTCACCGTCTGTGAACCGCGGGCGTCGTCAGAACACCGTCACTCTGTCGGGATTCAAACCAGTCACTCTTTGTTGTGTGGCCCAGTCGGTCGGAGGCAGAACCCCGAGGTCAGAAGCACCGGAGCGGGGAAGGAGAAGTGCTGCTACTTCTTCTGGCAGGGCCGACACTCCACGGTCAGTGAGAAGGGAACGTCAGCGCTGATGACGGTGGAGCTGGACGAGGAGCGAGGAGCGCAGGTGAGAGGAGCCCCCCCCCACACACACACACATATATGTGAATATATAAATACACATATGTGTGTGTGTGTGTGTGTTGACAGGTTCAGGTGCAGCAGGGGAAGGAGCCTCCGTGTTTCCTCCAGTGCTTTAATGGAGGGATGATCATCCATGCAGGGAAACGGGAGGAGGAGGAGGAGAACACTCAGAGTAATCTTCTACTTCCACTGTTTCCACAAAGTCTTCGGCCTCAAGTCTGATGTCGTTGGGCCTTTAGTTCAATGTTGTTGATCATTTAATAATTAAATAATAATGTTTAGATTTTTAAAACAACACGTAAAACAACAGAGAGACGTTTGCCTGATCATGTGACCCCCTCCCGTGCACCCAGGTGAGTGGCGTCTGTACTGTGTGCGGGGCGAGGTGCCTGCAGAAGGCCACCTGCTGGAGGTGGCGTGCCACTGCAGCAGCCTGCGCTCCAGGGCCTCCATGATTCTGCTGAACATCAACAAGGCCGTCATGTATCTGTGGCACGGCTGCAAAACTCAGCTTCACACCCGCGCCGTGGGAAACACGGCGGCCCAGAAAATCAAAGAGCAGTGAGTTTGGAGCCAGACTTCAAATCCCCTCTGGTCGGGTTTTTTTTTTTTTTTTTTACATTGTTTCTCTTTTCAGGTGCCCCCTGGAGGCAGGTCTGCACAGCAGCAGTAAAGTCACCATCCTTGAGTGTGATGAGGGGGTGGAGCCCCCTGGATTCTGGGAGGCTCTGGGCAGGAAGGACAGGAAGGCTTATGACTGCATGCTCCAAGGTGAGAGGTCGGGTCATGACCCCTGATCCACAGGGAGAAGGAGGTGGAGCCTCATCTCAGTTCAGTCAAAAAAGGACAGAATTATGTTGACAGTTCCCCGTGGAACCGTCCATCCATCGGTTCTTCAGGTTCCTTCAATTAATGCTCGGTGTTTTTGTCGAACTTTTTTTCCAGATCCTGGTAAATTTAACTTCACTCCACGACTTTTCCAGCTGAGCAGCACATCTGGAGAGTTTGTGGCCACGGAGTTCTTCCACCTGTCCAGAGCTGCAGAGCTGGTCAGTTCACTGCCCTTCCTGCAGGAGGACCTGTACAACGCAGCACAGCCTGGTCTGACACACACACACACACACACACCACGTTTGTCTGCGAGGGATAAACACCAACTGTGTTGTTGTTCTTCTTCTTCTGCAGCTCTGTTCCTGGTGGATAACTTCCATGAAGTCTACCTGTGGCAGGGCTGGTGGCCTCAGGACGCTGAGAGCATCGGCTCGGCCCGGATCCGCTGGGACGCTGACAGGAAGTGTGCCATGGAGACGGTACTGCAGTACTGCAGAGGTACGGTACCACAGCACCGCGTCTCTCTACGTAGTCTAATAATTTTTTTTAAAATTTTCTCTTCATAATTTTTCTCCTCCAGAGAAGAATGAGAAGAAACCTCAGAAGTCCTATCTGATCCACGCCGGTCTGGAGCCGCTCACCTTCACCAACATGTTCCCCAGCTGGGAGCACAGAGAGGATGTGGCTGAGATCACGGAGAGGGTCAGCAAACACACACACACACCGACACACACACATTTTTCATTATTCTAATAAAAAAACACACCACGAATCAGTTTAAAATCAATCACATCACGGTGTAAGGAGTAAACTGTGTCTCAAAAGTCACTGGTCAAACCATGACACTACACACTCTAGTCCAGTAGGTGGCGGTATGTGCCTAAAAACGAAGAACCCGTTTCACAGACACCAACATCAGTTGTAGTTCACCGTCACAACCTCACTGCTGATTGGTCCAAATAGTCAGGCCTAAAATTAAATGCATAATTCTCTGTTCTCTCTCTCTCTGCTGCCTCTGGTGGTCAGGAGGCAGAGGTCTGTAACCAGATCATCCTGGTGGAGGACGTGTTGGCCCGGCTCAGTCAGAACATCTTCCCTTTGGATCAGCTCCAGTCCCGGCCCCTCCCTGAGGGAGTCGACCCACTGAGACTGGAGGTCTACCTGACCGACCAGGACTTTGAGGTCAGTGCTGACCCTGACCCTGACCCTGACTCTGACCCTGACCCTGACTCCATGTGCTGTGCAACACTTTTTGGGCAGGTGCCTGCAGTACCGTTCACAGCCTCTAGGTTTTTTTTTAATTAAAAGCTAATTTAAAAATGACAATATCAAACACCTTAGACTGCAGAAGGGTTATTTTATCTTAAATGATAATAAAACTAAGAAGGTTTTTTTATTTTATCTTAAATGATAATAAAACTGCCTTGCCCGTGGGGCAGGTTGCTGGTCTCCCACAGGGAGGCGACCCCACCTTTGACCACCACCACACTTAACTTTATACACAGTACACACAGTACACACTGACTGAAGTTTTGGCCCAGTACTGTACCTCGACTACATCTCCTCCATCCTAACTCATCTAAATCTCATTTACAGCCCCACCTGTAGGTGAATTCAGGTAAGACATGAACCACCAACATGGAGACTTCTCCACAGCATGTCAGCACTTCTGTCTTCTTCACTCACAGTCAGTCACTCCACCTGTTCACACCTGTTCACACCCGTTCACACCAGACTGTTCCTCCGATCGAGGAGAGATTTTTCAGCACAAGGAAACAAATTAAATTAAAATAAAATCATTAGTAACTGAACGGCAGATTTCATGGACAGCTCTTGGTCAGACCAGTAGTCGTGTTAATGATCCTGTTAATTAGTTTAATTAGAGACATTTACACAGATGTGATGCTAACGTGATAAACGAGACATTTATTGGAGCCACTTGATTTTATCTCTTCCCAAAAAACTGATTTTCTGCCTCAACTGCGCCACCTCTGTTCTTCTACACCTCTCTGCTGCTGCTGCTGTTTTCTTCTTGACAAACCCCCCCCCCAACATGACCCCCCCTCCGATTCATAATGATCTTTTTTGGATCTTTTTCTTACAGAAAGCGTTGGAAATGACAAGAGAGGAATATGAAAGTCTGCCAGGGTGGAAGCAAGTGAACTTGAAGAAGGTCAAAGGACTGTTTTAGATGAGATGTAGACGGTGTGAGAAGTGGAGGAAAGTGAGTGACGGAGACGCAGGAATATAATAATATGGTGGTTGAAAAGGACAGCGTTGACAGACAACATCCACAGGAGGCAGGATGTGGACGAACTCGTCTCTCTTCTAATTATCTTTTACATTTTTTCATGAAGTAAAAATAAACTCCAGACGTTTTAGGTGAAGGTTTAAAACTCAAACCCTGCTGTGGTTCCTCCATGCTGTGGCTGTGGCTCCCCCC